GGCTAGCCCCAGGAACGCAGACTTCTTGCTATCTCTTGCCTTCCTGAAAATTAAAGAAACTTGCTTCCAAATAGCTGTCTGTCTGTGTCCTTACTCTGAAAGCACTCCCAGCAGGAAAAAAGAACCCTTGGAAGAAAGGAAAATGCAAGCCTTTCAACAAAGGAAACCATCACTGGGAGCTTTCAAGAAGAGACTAGACTGCCAACTCTCAGAAATTGCATAGTGGGGCTGGATATAACACATATAATATTAGCGATGCATATAATCATAACCATATTTATAATTACATTAGCTTGTTTGTGATTGTGTCAGATATCATGACCTACAAGGTACCTTCCAAATCTGTTAATCTGTACCTTATGAGGTCAATAAATTACAAAAAGAACAGGGGTCTAAAAAATTCCAGCCGCTGTGATATGTTTATTCCTAATTCTTGAAGGACTTCAAAAGAAGTGCTTCTTGTAAACTTGAAGTTGGAGGAGTACCTAGCAGAACAAGATAAGCAGAGGAAGATATGCTGGCTGAGAGCAACTTGAATCTGCTATTCTGCTCTCCATGTTGTGGAAGAACACAAAAATAATCCACTCCAAAGAAGGAGGGGATAGAAGGGGCACACCCACTTCACTTCCTGAAGACTGAATACAAATCTAATAATTTTTCCTTTTCTTACTTGATTTGGAGGTTCAACCACTGTTTGATCTCCGTCATAAAAACCAGAAAACGTCATTCTTTGTTTCTCTGTAAGGAATAAATAATTTCAAAATGCAAATAAAATAGGAGATATTCTATTGAAGAGAGAGCAAAGGTAGAGCAGATGGGTAATTGGAGGATCTTCCATTACCTCCTGAGGTGTCCCAACTTAGATCTTCCCAAGGGATCTTCCTGAAAAAGAGCTCCTGAGGGGGATTTGATGGGTTCTTCTTTCCCTCGGGATCTCTGATCTCCACAGTGCAGCAATTCAAATAGGAGAAAGGAATAAAAAAGAAGTAATGTAAATCAAACAAAATAAAGTGGATTCTTATATTCAGAACTCAACGTCAAAGACCTCAATATCCATCCTTTGTGGTTGAGTGAGAAAACAATGGAACAGTGTCCTATAAGAATTTGTAGGACATTGCCATACATTATGAAAGTCAGAGAAGTATGGGAAGAAGGGGTGAAGGATTCAAACTCATTCTGTATTATCTTTTGAGCTCTCACCTGCAACTGGGCATGCTCCTTCTGCTCTTCCGCCTGGCTCAGGAGGAAGCCTTCTGCCAGGGCCACCGCCTGGGAGCTGGTCTCTGTTCCACATTCCCGCACCCAGTTCTCCATCTCTGGGGGCAGAAGAGCCAGGAACTGCTCAAGAACCACCAGGTCCAACATCTGCTCTTTGGTGTGCTTTTCTGATCTTAGCCATCGCCTACTAAGGTCATGGAGTCGGCTGCAAAATCTTCGAGGACCTTCAGCCTCCTGGTATTGGTTGAACTTCCAGGGCTGAACTTCTGAAGAGAGGATGGTTTCCTCCTCCAGGATCTTCTGCCCAGGTCTTGTCCAGATCTTCCCACCCTTCCCAGGCTGTAGAGCTGAAGGGCCTTTTCCGGTTCCCTCCTTTGCAAAAGGTTGTGCCTCCATCCTTTCTCTTTCCAGCAGAGCAACTCCAAATGGGTCCAAGCCCTCTTGTGGATCTCCAGATGCCTTTTCCTTCACAGGACCATTTCTGGGGTCGCAGGACGGATCCCTTCAAGTTATTCGAAAGGGGAATTCAGCCCCTGAACCACCTTCAACCAACCTGCCACACTGGGCGGGAAGGGAACCCAGGATCCCCGACACCTTCTCGGCACCCCCACCTCCCTGCAGGGAGAGGGCGGCTGGGGAACATGGGACCGGGGTTAAGCCTCCACCCCCGCCCCACTCACCCCAGACACGTCTGGAGCTCCCTCCCGCTACTTTCTCCGCCTCCTGCGGAGCCCCAGGGGTTAAGAGCAGCGAGTGCAAGGTCCTAGAGTGGCAAGCGTTTGTGATGTTTCTTCCTTTCCAGCATCCTCTACAAAGGCAGCCGTGACGTTTGCCCCCAGTGGCCCAATGGGGAACCGGCTTGGAATTCCCTTGTCCTGCCACACAGCACCCCCTGGTGGATTTCGCGCAAAGTGCCAGGATTGTAGAAAAGGCGGGAAAGAGGAGCGCGCGTCTGAGAGAAAGGGAGTAGGAAAGGCCTCTCTCAAGGGATCCGTCTGTGGAGATGGAGAAAAATCACTCTGGAGGATTTAAAGTCAGAAGAAGTTGTTGGGAATTCCGAACTTAAATGAAGAAAAATGGGACACAGAGGCAGGGAAGCCACAATCAGGAAAATGATTGCAATTTATTTGTTTTTTTATTATTATTATTATTTTTTAATTCAATACATAGAGGTGCCCTTCACAAATTATTCCCTCAACCTCACAGGGAAGGGGAGACCTCACCGTGAAGGGTAAGAGATGCTTCTGCCCCTTCCGATGAACACCATCTATGGTACTGTGGAAAGGGAACTTCACCAGGGCAGGGGTGACATCCAAGTAGGAAAATGCGAGGGGAATATCAGGCTAGCCATAAAAGCAAACTTGCATAGGAAAAGAGATTTGATAAAAGGTATTGAAAGAAGCCCCCTAGACAAAAGCCAAGTACAAACAATAGGCCATGCCAAATCAGCAAAACAAATAAGACAAAAGACCGATAGCAGACAGGAGATTGCCACTAAACAAATATGGGAAATGAAACTAATAATCCAATCAAACCACCCCGCAGAGTTTACCCTCTGACGGAAATGGAGACAACCCCCCCTGACAGGATTTGAGCACTCACAAAAGAAGGACAGGTATAAAAATCAGGAGTTTATTACACAAGGCTGGCTAGCCCCAGGAATGCAGACTTCTTGCTATCTCTTGCCTTCCTGAAAATTAAAGCAAACTTGCTTTCAAATAGCTGTCTCTGTCTGTGTCCTTACTCTGAAAGCACTCCCAGCAGGAAAAAAGAACCCTTGGAAGAAAGGCATTTGAGATCCTTTCAACAGTACCTACAGAAAGAGTGTGAAGAAAAAGAAAAAAGGAAACCAGGAAAAAAGGAAACATGGAAGAGAAGCTGAAACGGATGGATGTTCAAGAAATTTTATCTCATAATGAGGCTCCTTAATTAAGAAACAAAGAGGGGGAAATGGCCTTTCATCTCCGACTGGAGAAAAGGTGGAAATTACAAAACTAAGAAAAGAAGGGGGCAAGAGGCGTCTCGCCATGACATTCTGGTCCTGGGGTCATGTGGTCTTCTGACAAGCAGTCAATGGGGAAGGCAGATTCACTTTACGGAAGAGGGAGTCAAGCTATTCTCCAAAGCACCTGAGGGCAGGACAAGAAGCAATGGGTGGAAAGTAATCAAGGAGAGAAGCAACTTAGAACTAAGGAGAAATTTCCTGACACTTAGAACAATTAATCACTGTGGGTGCTCCAACACTGGAGGTTCTTAAGAAGAGATTGGACAGCCATTTGTCTGAAACGGTATTTGGGCTCCTGTGGTGATAATTGCTTGTACCCAGAAGGCAATGCGCACGAGTCACACACACCCACGCCCCCTGCGCATGCATGTGTGCACCCCTGGCGCCATGTGTCTGTGCATGTGTGAGTGACCCCCACCCTGCGCTGCACATCTCTGCACATGTGCACACATCTCCCACACACACCCGCGCTCCCCCCTCCAGATTCTCGACAATCAACTGGTGAGCAGGCGGCAGGTGCACATGCGCAGTAGACCTGCTCTGGGCGAGGGCTTGTGTGCCAGCAGTAATGGCTCTGCGTGTCACTTCCAGCTTGTGTGCCAGAGGTTCGCCATCACGGGTGTAAGGTTTTCTGCCTGAGCAGAGGTTGAATTATAAAGACCTCCAAGATTCCTTCCAACTCTGTTATCTATATATATAAAAGAGAAAACCACTCAGGCATCATCACAAAATCTCCAGAATTGTAAAGCCTACAAACTTGAAATTTGGCACGTACATTGCTCTTGGCTTCTAGGTGCTCACTAAGAAAGAATTTTTCGAAATGACCATCAGAGCATTAGTATTTCCTATATTATTTTTATTAACGTACTCTGATGCTAAGGAATTCTACTCCCCCTCCCCACCTGAAAAGAAATCTGTTCCAAATGCAAAACACAAGCAGAGGGGAGGAGTTTCAGTTTTAGTTTCACAGCACCCAGCAGCTTTAGTAGAGAACAGTTGAGTTAAGCCACGCCTAGGCTCCTTGCTGTCTCCTTGCTCACACAGCACATACTGTTTCAGTTTCCAAACAGCTGTGAACTCTCTCACACACTGACAGGAGGCTAGCCAGATGAATGTGGATGCTGGTAGGCAGAGGCAGAATTTTTTCCCCATTATTTTCCTCCCCCAAAACTAAGCCCGACCACATAGTTTCGTAGCGCAGCACGGGTATCGAGCTACTTCTATTCTATAATGACAGTAGCTGTTTCTATATAGTGGGGTGGGCTGGATGATCTCTGTGTCTTTTTACAATTCAAGGTTTCTTAGGAGTTCACTGACAAACAAAACTTCTCAATCCCTGTTTCATGGATTCCTGTACTGGTCCAGAATTTGTGCAAATGATGGTGTGAATGTAAGCCCAAATCCTCTGCAGAGAGTTCTCTTCTGTAAATTCCTTTCAACTCATTTCTTTCACTCAATAATCCTGTTTGCCACAGTATAATGGCCAGGGGAGATACTGACCTCCCTTCCAGGAAGGGAGTGAAGACTTAGAACAGAAATCTCCAAACTTGGCAACTTTTAAGACTCGTGGACTTCAACTCCCAGAATTACTCAGCTAACATGACTGGAGGAGGAATTCTGGGAGTTTGAAGTCCACAAGTCTTAAAGTTGCTAAGTTTGGGGACCCCTGACTTAGAAAATGGGAGGGGGATCTTCTCTTAAGGTCCCTGCCCTGCTCACTCGCCCTCCCACCCCCCGGGGCGGAGACTCCCAGAGCATCTTCCCCGCGGAGGCAGGAGGCGCCTGGCCAGCTGATGATGACAGTTCCTGGTAGCTACTCGCTCTTCCGCGTCGGCTGATAGTAAGGCTCGCCCGGGGAGCTGAAAAGCAAAGACTCCGCATGATCTTCCGATCTTTCTTCGTGTTGCTGGTAGCGGCCGTCCTGCTACTGGGTGCGGGCATCGGGGGTGAGTGACCGGTGAAAAATTACTCCCCCTTCCCACGGATGGAAGAGAGAGCCTCCGCTTTCCCGACACTGGGAATACCGGAGGAGCCGGACACGACGGGCATTGATTTGAACTCAACCTGCAGGGGGAGAAGCTGGAAAGGAGGCTGGCTAAAGCGGGAAGGGACAGGAGATCCCGAAGTCCACAAGTCTTAAAGTGGCCAAGTTTGGGGACCCCTGAGTCCTAACAAGTAGTAGTACTTCCCACTCGCTAGGGGCAGCTTTCGCTTTGCGTTGCAGCTGGAATTTCCCAGCGCTGCGGGCGGGGCTCTCCTCTCACGTGATGCCCTCTCTGTTAGAACACACATAAGAAGATAGAATCCTAGGGCTAGATGGAAAGAGACCTCCAAAGGTTTCTAACAGAGTTGGAAGGGACCTTGTAAGTAATCTAGTCTAGCCCAACTCCCCAGCAGGAGACCCTACACCAGGGGACCTTCAAACTTGACAGCTTTAAGAGTCGTGGACTTCAACTCCCAGAGTTCCTCCTCTAGTCATGTTAGCTCAGGAATTCTGGGAGTTGAAGTCCACAAGTCTTAAAGCTGTCAAGTTTGAAGGCCCTTGCCCCACACCATTTCTTTCAGATGGAAGTGCAGTCTCTTCTTTGTGTGTGTGTGTGTGTGTGTGTGTGTGTGTGTATTTGTTTTCTGAGGTTCTCGCGGGTATTTGTATGTGGATCTTTGGTTGTTCGGGTTTTCTCCCGCGTAAGATTCGAAGTATCTAGGCACTCTGAGAAGCAAGAGCCGAAGACAGAAGCCTGAAGATGATGAATGAGACTTCATCGAAACGTTGCCTAGATACTTCGAATCTTATGCGGGAGAAAACCCGAACAACCAAAGATCCACATATATATATATATATATATATATATATATATATATAAAATATATAAATGTTTTCTTAAGTTTTCGCGGATACTTACATGTATGGCATTCAGCTTTGCTCGGGTATTTTCCCACATCATAGTAGTTGTGCTTTTATATATGAAATATATAAAATATAAATATATAATATATAAAATATAATGTATGTATGTATGTTTTATCTTTTTGCAGGTATTCATATGTATGGTATTTAGGTTTCTTCGGGTATTTTCCCACATCTTAATAGTTGTGCTTTTAAAGTTATAGCCACGGTTCTGCAGAATCTCATCTGCCATCTTCAGGCTTGTGTGTTGTTTTTTTCCTAATCGTGTGTCAGGCTTTAGCAGCTGTTTCTGTTTGAATTTGGTGCTGGCTTCCTGCTTTATTTGAATGGTTTTTTCTTCATCCTGATTGGCTGGGGGTCTAGGTGTGTGTTTATTGGTCTCCCAGTTGCTGTGTTCTTGATTAGCTGGCAACATTGTGTTTTGTGTATTGGGTTTTTTTAGTGCAGCTTGGTTTTTTTGTGAAGGGCCGACAATTGTGGCTTTCATATGTTGGACTAGTGAGGAAGTGTGTTCCAGGTTTTTTTTACTGTACAGCTCACCAAATGCCTGCTTCTTTTCTCCTGGTAGCTGCCACTTCTTCCCACGTCTTGCGCTATTTCTTCACTGGTGTGTCAGAACTGGGCCACGGCCTGCCCCGGTTTGTCATTGTGGGCTACTTGGATGATCAGCAGTTTGTCCACTATGACAGTGACTCCCGGAGGGACTTGCCACGGGGGCCCTGGATTCGGAAGGTGGAGGAAGACGATGCCCAGTATTGGGAGTGGCAAAGTCAGCTTTCCCACAGCTGGGAACTCTACTTCCAACTGAGCCTCTGGAACCGCTTCAACCACACTCCGGGTAAGTGCCAGGGAGACGGGAGCTTGGCTACAGGCTGTCTTGCGGCTGGCAAACCTTTTTGGCACTGAGTGCTGAAACAGAAGCCCGCAGGCGTGGGGAAGCACCAGAAACCAGAATAACAGTTCCTGTTTCCAGTGTGCACACTTGGTCTTCTGGTTTCTGGCACGCATGCACACGCAAAGACCAGGCGACTGATGCATATGCGCATGCCGGAAATGGGAAAATCCGCTTCCTGGTGCATGTATGCACATTGGGGACTGCTCTTCTGGTTTCTGGTGCTCCTGCTCACACAAAGACCAGCTGGCTGGCATGTGCGTGCTGGAATCCAGAAGAGCAACAGGGGACAGCTGGCATGCCCAGAAAGATGAGTGTCACTTCCAGCATGCGTGCCGTAGGTTCACCATCACAGGCTTAGATAATCACTGAGATCCCTTATAGCTTTTGTTCTATCGCTAAGACAAAGCAGACTTGGATGCTGGAGTTGAAATCAGCTCTTTATTAGCAACCAGTAACTTCAACTAAAGTCGAGCCGCGGCAGCCCTTTTGTTAACGGCTGCTCGCGGCTCGCAACCAATGGCATCTGTTTAAACTTCCCGCCACTTATACGTCCAATCGGAAACTTGTTGTTCTTAACCAATCGTTACGTTGTATTAACTAACTAATAGGAATGTAGTATTAGAAGTCTGTATTTGAATACACTACAGCTCTTCCACTACATAGTGTACGGCTGGTGTCAAAGAATTCTCGTGTAGGGCTGGTGTCAAAGAATGTTTGAGCTGATCTTGGGGCAGGAAGTAGTGAGATGTTCAAACTTGAGATTTTGTGGTCTGTAGATTGAAATATACGTGAGAAAGAAACTCAAATAATCTCTCTTGATTTTGTTTAGTATAAAGTGTAACAATGACACTTGGACAAGGCTCTATTAGAATAATTAATAGAATAATTAATATTAGATTATTCTACTAGAATAATTCCTGCAATCCTTGCAGTTGTTTTTAATTGACCAGCCTACCATGAAAAGCTGGTCTAGTTGGGGTTTGAATACAGGTAGTCCTGGACTTACAAGAGTTCATTTAGTGACCATTCAAAGTTACGACATCACTGAAAAAAGTGACGTGGCAAATTTTCACATTTACGATGATCTCTTTTCCCGACAGACACACAATCAAAACTCGGATGCTTGGCAACTGACTCATATTTATAATGGTTGCAGTGCCCTGGGGTCATGTGATCCCCTTCTGTGACCTTCTGACAAGCAGTCAATGGGGAAACCAGATTCATTTTACAACCATGTTACCAATTTAGAAACTGCAGTGATTCACTTAACAACCCAAGCAAGAAAGATCTCAAAATGGAGCAAGCAAAATTCACTTAACCTGTCATGCCCCTGTTGTAATCTGACTAGGAGGAGGAAGCTGAACAGCTGACAGGGAGTGGGTGTGTAGCTCCGTTGGCTGTGGAAGAAACTGGGGAAGGGCAGAGTCCGGCTGGGCAGAGCAGGGGAGAGGTAGAGTAAGGGAGAGGGAATTCAGAGGAAGACCCAGGCCCACCCCCTCTAGAATGAACTAGGGCATGCAGGGAAGAATGGAGAAAGGAGCAACATGGGTTGCATGGCTTACAGAGAGGAAAGGGCCCTGATTCCCTTCATTAGCTGCAGCTGGGAACACAGTGTATAAAAAAGGCAAACTATGTGCAGCAAGCTGTTGGGAGCAAACATGACTTTATCCTGTGCTATCAAGGCTCATCTGTGTTCCTGGCATCTTCCCAACTGTGTGAATTTTGCCGTGTTTTCAACTCTGCAATTCCTTTTCCTGCCCTGTCATGTTAATTGCTGCAGAGTGGTTTGTTTGGATTTTAAGTTACAGTTTGTATGTACCTTGTTTTGGACTGACTTTCCTGCAGTTAAAGGCTGTTCCTGGGAGAGTTTTTCTCCAGCCCGAAGGTGTCAGGAGGCAGAGCGGGACAAGGGCGCCCTGCTCAGCGGACCAACTGTGAATTTATTTTGTATCGTCATGGCTTATCTGTTTTCCTGGCGTCTTCCCAACTGTGTGAGTTTTGACGTGCTTTTTCAAGTCTGAAATTCCTTCTCCTGCCCTGGCAAACTAATTACTTCAGTTTGGTTTGTTTGGATTTTAAGTTACAGTTTGTGTGTACCTTGTTTTGGACTGACTTTTCTACAATTAAAGACTGTTCCTGGGAGAGTTTTTCTCTAGCCGAAGGTAAGCTAGACATTGGGGGCAAAGTTGGAGATGATAAAGGGACTCCTATTGTTTATTTGACTGTGTTGCCTTTCTGCCACACCCTGGGTCATCACATAACCACTGTTTTGTCTAGCAACAAAAATGTTGGGCTCCATTGGGATTGTAAATTGAGGATTACCTGTAGATGAGCTCTATGGTATATCCCAAGCCTTTCATTATATCTCTGATACTGAGCAACCAATGCAAACTTCACCGAGATGTGTTTTGCAGGGTTTCACACCTGGCAATGGATGCATGGCTGTGAGTTACGACAAGACGGACGTAAAGAAGGCAGTTCTCAGTTTGGCTATGATGGGAAGGATTTCCTCAGCCTGGATAAACAGACTCTCACCTGGACAGCAGCTGACTGGCGGGCCCAGGTCACCAAGCAGAGGTGGGAGGCTGATGTGGTCTGGACTCAAGGCCGGAAGAATTTCCTGGAAGGAGATTGCATTGAGTGGCTGCAGAAATACCTGAATTACGGCAAGGAGTCCCTTCTCAGAAAAGGTGATGGGTTGTGGGTTGTGTTGGTTTATCTTATGTAACAGATCCCCTGGAGCAGTGGCCCCCAACCTTTTTTGTGCCACGGCCCGGTACCGGCATCACAAAATGATCCGTGGCCCAGTACCGGCATCAGCATGCATGACATGGCAAGGTCAGCTGCGACTGGCCAGCCAGCCGTCCCCCGCTTCTCCCTGCCACCTTCAACTCCTCCTTTGTACCTTTGTCGATGGGCTTTGGGACGGTCGCTCGGCTCGCCTTGCCTTGGGTGCTGAAAGAATCCTCACGCCTTAGTTTTGTTCGAAGCCCCCCCCCACTTCAATGAAACTAAGGCGCGAGGATTCCTTCAGGACCCAAACGCCGCTTTCCAACCGGAAAAGCTCACCCGGAAGCACTTTCTCGTCAAACAAGATGGCGGCGCCCAGCAAACCAGCGGCCCGGTAGGAAATGTTCCACGGACCGGTACCGGTCTGCGGCCCGGTGGTTGGGGACCACTACCCTGGAGTACTAATACCACTTTATAATGCCTTGGTAAAGGCCACCCTTGGAATTCTGGATCCAGTTTTGGTCGCCAGGATGTAAAAAAGATGTCGAGACTCTAGAAAGAGTGCAGAGAAGAGCAACAAAGAGGATTAGGGAACTGGAGGCTAAAACATATCAAGGATGGTTGCTGGATATGTCTAGTTTGATGAAAAGAAAGGAGTAAGGGAGACATGATAGCAGTGTTTGGATACCTCAGAGGCTGCCCCCAAAGAAGAGGGAGTCAAGCTATTCTCCAAAGCACCTGAAGCCATGGGTAGAAACTAATCAAGGAGAGAAGCAACTTAGAACTAAGGAGAAATTCCCTGACAGTTAGAACAATTAATCACTGGAACAATTTGCCTCCAGAAGCTGTGGATGTCCAACATTAGAAGTTTTTAAGAAGAGATGGGATAACTATTTGTCTGAAGAGGTGTAGGGTTTCCTGCCTAGGCAGTGGGTTGGACTAGAAGACCTCCAAGGTCCCTTCCAATTCTATTCTATTCTATTCTATTCTATTCTATTCTATTCTATTCTATAATGACAGTAGCTTTTGCTAGATAGTGGGGTGGACTGGATGACCTCTGTCTTCTTACACTACCAGGATTCTATGAATTCGCTTAAAAGCAATTCTTCTCAATTCCGTTTCATGGATTCCTATACTGGTCCAGAATTTGTGCAGAAGATGGCATGAATGTACAACCCAAATCCTCTACAGAGAATTCTCTTCTGTAAATTCCTTTCACGTAGAAATAATCCTGTTTGCCACAGTATGCTGGGCAGGGGGGACACTGACCTCCCTTACAGGAAGGGAGTGAAGACTTACAAAAATGGAATCAAATGCCCAGGGTCTAGAAGGGCATTATTCGTTTATGGGACAACTTGTGGAAGAAAGTAAGGGCTTAAGTACCATGAGGGTATGGTTTAAACGCTGGAACTTTGGGCTTCCCGCCAGTGATGGGATTCAAAAACTTTTTACTGCCGGTTCTATGGGCGTGGCTTGGTGGGTGTGGCAGGGGAAGGATACTGCAAAATCCCATTCCTGCCCCATCCCACTAACCTGCTTTCCAGCTCCGTCTTCCTGTGCAGGGCAACACAAGAAGACCCAGCCGATCAGCTGGGACTTGAGAGGCAGAGAATAGATGGAGGGGCGGGGCCAGTCAGAGGTGGTATTTGCCGGTTCTCCGAACTACTCAAAATTTCCGCTACTGGTTCACCAGAACTGGTCAGAACCTGCTAAATACCACCTCTGCTTCCTGCCCAGGGCATAGCAGAGGAGAGGACTGGTTCAATCCTGCTTCTGATATTCAAAAGGAGCAGGCAACCATATTTGATTGCATTGCTCATCACCCTTCATTGTTGACTGTGCTTGGGCTAGATGGGATCTAGGGTCCTGTTGTATCTCCAGATTCTGTCTCCTGAGTCTCAAGCCATCATTTAGCCGATTATTAAAGGTTCCCCTCGCACATATGTGCTAGTCATTTCTGGCTCTAGGGGGCAGTGCTCATCTTCGTTACAAAGCTGAAGAGCCAGTGCTGTCTGAAGATGTCTTCGTGGTCATGGGGTCATGACTAAACACCGAAGGCGCACTGAACACAGTTACCTTCCCACCAAAGTGGTCCCTATTTTTCTACTGTATTTTTACATGCTTTCGAACTGCTAGGTTGGCAGAAGCTGGGACAAGTAACGGGAGCTCACTCCGTTACGCAGTGCTAGGGATTCGAACCGCCGAACTGCCAACTTTTCTGATCGACAAGCTCAGCGTCTTAGCCACTGAGCCACCGCATCCCTTAAAAGCTGATTATTAAGAATGTTTTAATTTTTGCAGAACCTCCTGTGGTCACAGTCACCCGGAAGGAGAGCTACGACGGACTGGAAATCCTGATCTGCCGTCTTTACGGTTTCTACCCCAAAGATGTGGACGTCACTTGGAGGAAAAGTGGGGAAATCTTGGAGGAGGAGACCTTCCGGGGTAGGATCACTCCCAATTCAGACAGGACCTACCACACCTGGCTCAGCATTGAGATCGACCCCAAGGAGAGAGAGCACTACAAATGTCACGTAGAGCATGACGGTCTTATGAACCCCCAGGATTTCTCCTGGGAGAAGCCAGGTAAGTGATTGCAGTACAAGGACGGGGCGCGTGGATGCCAGGGAGTGCCTGTGAAGATTTATTTACGGGGTGCTGTTCTTGGCACTTCCCATACAGCTAATGTGTAGGTTCAGTCTAGAAACTAGAACTGTGATGGCAAACCTGTGGCAGGCGTGCCCCAGCTAAACTTACCTGCATTGCGCATGCACGCGCCTCCCAGCTGTTTTTTGAGGGAAGTGCCCGTTTTCATCCTCCAGAGGGCCTTTGGAGCCCGGGGGAGGCCATTTTTGCCCTTCCGGAGGCTCAAGAGAAGCCTCTGCAGCCTCAGGAGGCCGAAAAACGGGCCTTCCGGAAATACTGGAAGTGCCGAAACAGGCCTGTTTTCAGCCTGCAGAGGCTTCCCTCGAGCCTCCGGGAGGGCGAAAACAGCCTCAAAAGGGCTGAAAATCAGCTGGGAGGCACATGCATGCATAATGCAGGTAAGGGGGCAGGGTGGGGTTGTTGCGCACGCATGCGCGGGGGGGCGGGCGCATTGTACTGTGGGTGCTGGGTGCGCGTGTGCTTTCGGCACACCACAACAAAAAGGTTCGCCATCACTGAACTATAACAACTAAGATGATCAAAGTTATGCATATGTCCACATGTCCAAGCTATTACAGAATTGGGTAGTCCTGCTAGAAATACTTCGAAACCTCCTTCCAGAGGGGAACAACAGAAAAAGACCATAAAGGTTGGAAAAGATGATAAAACAACATACAGACTTAAAGCCTGAGATATTTTTTACTGGGGATCCTACCTGAGAATTATAGTAAAGAAAAAATATATACATATATTAACAGCAGCTAGGATTGTATTTGCTCAAAATTGAAAAAATGAAGTTTCCAGTGGTGATTAGGAAAATATTGGAAGGTGCAGAAATGAGTAGATTAACATTGGCAGTTAGAGAACAAGAAAAAATGGAGTATTATATGATTTGGGATTTATAAATGGTTGGAAAATGCAGTAAGAAATTAAATGATATTGTTATAATGATATATAATGCTGAATAGGCTATAATATGAATTTAGTGAGAAATGTATATAAATATTAATATGCGCACAAGATATATGTCCCCAGTCGACACATTGTATAACTGAAAGATGGTTTTATTTTTTGTTTTTTTTCTAAAATATTTTATAGAATATTTTTTGTTTTTATTTTGTTTTATAAAAAAACTTTTTATAAAAGAAAAAAGAAACAGACCATAAAGTGGAGGTATGGGGGTCTCTAACAATGCTTCGAGCTGTAAGCATATAGCACTTATAAGCAGTATGCTGAATAACGGGGAGAGAACTTCCTATAATCTTCTCGACTGTCCTTACCACTCTCTGTAGGGACTTTCTATCTGAGGCCAACTTTTTGTTCTTTTCTTAGTTTCATCTGTAACAGGGATCCTCGTGGGCAGTGTCCTAGGTGCTCTGGCTGCTGCTGTCTTGCTGGTAATTGGGATCCTATTCTACACCAGTAAGTTAACTGAGATTTCTTCCTGTTGGTAGAAGCGTTTCGGTGGCAGTTTCCGCCTTTTTCCTACTCTCTGAGAAAAACACCTCTTGTAATTGGCAATGCCCAAAACTCATAACAATTCAACCCCACACTTTCTAAACATGGATCGATGAGCAGAGCAATACCCATGTTAGGGTTCCGGCTGTTACTCCAATTAAATCACGTCTCGAGCCAAACTTCCAAAACTTCAAAAGGATTTATTGGGAGTTAAATATGTCCGGCACTGCCTGGGCGTAGCTAACTCTGAGACACATAATTCATTGTCATCCTTGACCCTGGTTTTCCCCCCACCTTCTGGGTGTACCATAATTCATATTCTCCAATGGGACACATCCATAGCCAAGAGCCATCAATCACGTTATCCAGTTAGATATTTGCGTGGCAGAAACTTCAGTCACCTAGTTACTATCTTTGAAGAACTATTTATGGAATGCACTTTGGGTTTCCAAGCTGCCGCACTGCTGTTTCAAACCCCTTTCCTCCCCACTCCCTTTCTGTTGGTAACTCTAAAAAAGACCACAGAAATATTTTATGAGTTGACACCCTACCAATCACAAGAATGGAATCTGTCCGTGGATTAGTCCTGGAAGTCTCTAAATAGAAAGGGCCAAGGAAGCGGTAACCCAGTTCTATCTCTTTCATAGTTTCCTACAGCAATGGTCTCCAATCTTTCTGGCTTTGTGGACTGGCCCGGGGGTGGGGTGAGGGGTGGGGGGCAGGAGGGCGGGGAGCAGAAATTGTTCCATGCAAGCATCAGGTGTATACATTCACCTGCTGTTTGCATGGCGTGATTCTGAAAAGACCGCGGCCCAGTGACCTGCCCATGGCTTGGGGATTGGGGACCCCTGTCCTTCATTGGTCCCCTCCCAGAGCCTCTGCGCGGACCCTGCATTATCTCCGTCGAAAATGGACCATGTGGAGACTCCGGGGAGGGGAGGGGCGGGGCCAACAGGTTGGTTGAATTACCGGTTCTGCGAACCAGCTGTAACTTTAACATCCGGTTCATCTGAACTGGTAGAATCCCACCCCTGAGAAAAGGGGTGTCAAACTGGTGGTCCACGGGCCCGATGCATCACGCGTGGGCCACGCCCACCCCAGCTCCGTGAAGGGAAAAAGGCTGCAAAATGTCCCGCGATGGCCACGCGACGACATGAGTTTGATAACCGCGATTTAGAAGAACAGGGCAGTTGTCAAAGCTTCTTCTGGATCCAAACGGCATCCAGGTGCCTCCAGAACTCTCTCTCCTATCCAGAAACGGTCCACCCAGTGCAAAATTGAAGAGCTGCTCCAGTTGTTGACTTGCTGACAGCCCCTATCCTGCAAGCTGTAAGCAAGGCTCACCTCCTTAGTGATTGTCTTGTATCCTATGGGCTTCCTGACCTCTCCATGTGAAGGCCTTCTAAGCTTCTGATTCTGCTAAGAGTTGGGTTGATGGTTCTTAGTCTGCTGAGTGCTTAACTAAGCAATTAGTTACCGGTTTACTGTCTGTGGATTTTTACTGATTGTCAGATACAACGACTTATAATACTGTGGGAAGAAATATCCATCTAGTCCAGTTCCAAGCCGGGAGAAAGGCACTGGAGACAATATGGGGGCTGGAGGCTGATTGGAAAGAGGGTCCATTTATTGATGAAGCAGAACCACATGGGTTCTGGTGCAGCTGACCCTATGGAGTTGAGAGCGAGAGGTTTTTATACCTTCTCTTGGGCTTTGCACTTGAGCTTCCTGTTCCTGTGTGAGAACATTTGTTCTATTGGCTGTTGTCCGACTCCCATGGAGCCAAGTAGAGGTTACGTATGGGTCATAGCTGGCTCTATAGGTTGTCTGAGCTCCCAGGTTTGGTTGAAGTTTGCTGGGGGTGTTGCAAAAAACACTGGAAACATGGAGGCTGATTGGAAAGATGGTGAATGGTGAAGCAGAACCACCGAGCAGGTGTGAGTCTGGGTAGTTGATAACATGGAATGGAGAGAGATATATAGACATACCCTCTGTTGGGCTTTGAACTTGCTTCCTGTTCCTGTGGCAAGAAACGTATCCTGATTGGTTGTCAGACCCCCGAGGCAGGGATAGCTTTGCAGGGTATCTGTGTCCTAAATTTGGTTGAAACTTGCTGGGTGATGCAATGAAGGGCAATTAAATGGCTCTGCCTGAAGGAGATAGATCTTCGTTATGTAGAATAGACTGACTCAGGCCTTAATGGCCCATTAGCAAAGGTGGGGGTGGGGGTTGAGTTTCTGCCTCTCTTGAGTTTCTAGTTCACTTTTAGGGAAAATATTCTGCCTTTTTAATATATCCTAAAATATTACATTTTTCTAGGAGAGGGTTGGGTTTTTAAGCGCCAATAGGGTGTTGGGAAATTCCTATTGTGGCTTAATGGCTTTTTCCTGTGTTGGACCTTGGATGATGGCTATTTGCTTATGAAAAGAGCTATATAATTCTCAATAAGCTATTTCTCTCTTAAATGCTGACATCTTGCTGAGGGGTATTAAGGAAAGTGGGTGTTGATTTCTGCCTCTAAAAAAACATGTTTCTTCATTTCTCCCTTTGGGGAAATACAATATTCTGCCTTTTTAACATTATCCAAAATATTTCATCCTTCTGGGCGGGAGGTGATAAGTTTCGACACTGGTTTACTGTCTGTGGGTTTTTACTGATTATCAGATACAATGACTCATTATAATACGGTACCTCGGGTATGGGATACCTAAAAATCTGCAGCCATTTCATCATTATTAACCTAAAGTTAAATTAAACTTTGGAGAATGGGGGCGTGTGCCGTCAAATCAGCATGGACTCCTGATAATTTCCTGGACAATCCCTGTGGGTTTTTTTTTGGCAAGTTTTTTCTTAAGTGTTTTGCAGTGGTAAGCTCCTGTTAATGTTAATTTTCTGACCGGTTCGGAGAATCCTTATTGGAAGAAATCTTTTCCCATTTTTTTAGGGCTAATTTGCAAGGAACAAGCAGGAATGAAAGATCCTAGTGCAGGGGTCCCCAAACTTGGCAACTTTAAGACTTGTGGACTTCGACTCCCAGAATTCCTGAGCTAACATGTCTTGGAGGAATTCTGGGAGTTGAAGTCCACAAGTCTTAAAAGTTCCTAAGTTTGGAGGCCTCTGTTCTAGTGTGCCTGTATTTCTAGCCTATTCCTTATCTTAATTGTTGCCAGGGGTGGGCTTCAAATTTTTTTTAACAACCGGTTCTGTGGGCGTGGCTTAGTTGGTGGGTGTGGCTTGGTGGTCATGTGACTGGGTGGGCGTGGCCAACTCGACATCACTCATGTTAAGGGGTGCTTCTCTTCACCTGGCCTCTCATGCCAGTGGGGATGCTGCAACCGTGGTTGTAAGTGTGAAAAAAACGGTCATAAGTCACTTTTTTTCAGCGCCATTGTAACTCTGAATGAACTAAATGAACTGTTGTAAGTCAAGGATTGCCTGTACAAAAATACAAGAAGCTTCTTTGCTTGCAAAAAAGCTGCCCTAAATACCAATCGTCAGATTTAAAATGTCTGCAAGCCAAAGTTGCAAATCAGGCAGGGTGCCAGAGCTCCTTGAGGAATTAAAATAGTTAAAATGCAACGGTAACTATCAGCAGCCATCTCTTGCTCAAAAAGTCAAGCCCTTTAGCAGAGAGGTCATTTAAGCCAGGGGGCCCCAACCACCGGGCCCTGGACCGGTACCAGTCCGTGGATCATTTTGTACCAGGCCGCAAAGAATGAAAGTAGGGCCTACTTTGCTTGGGCGCCGCCATCTTGTTTTGACGGCACTTGAGAAAGTGCTTCCGGGTGAGCTTGTCAGTCGTTGGTTGGAAAGTGGTGTTCGGGTGCTGAAGGAATCCTTGCGCCTTAGTTTCGTCGAAGCGGGGGCGGCTTCGAATGAAGAGCTGTCCCGATGGCGGTGGAATCTCGCATTACTCACGAGGAGATTAAGAAAGAGCCCGAAAAGCCCATTGACCGCGAGAAGGTACAAAGGAGGAGTTGAAGGTGGCGGGGAGAAGCGGGAGACGGCTGGCTGGCCAGTCGCTCGGCTCGCCCTGCCTTGGTCGTGCGTGCTGATGCCGGTACCAGTCCGTGGATTGGTCCGTGGATTGTACCGGTCTGTGGTACAAAAAAGGTTGGGGACCACTGCTTTAAGCTCTCCAGAAAGAGCACACCCAAGGCGAAGCAATCCTTAGATCCATTTGCACCCCTTTAAAATACCATCTGGCCTCACTCACCTCACAAGAGGAAATCATCCATCCTAAAGTCTAGGCTGTCTGCCAAGAATGTAATAAGGGTGGAAAAAAACCCAGGAGATTTCTTCTAACTACTGGTTCCCCGAACCTCCTAGAAAGTGAATATGGGGTTCTATAGAACCGATCAGAACCGGTAGAATCCCACCCCTGATTGTTGCCCCTGCTTGCTGTAAGAAGTTAGCACCCACACCTAGAAAATTTCACTTTAGAGCTCTCAGCCCTGTGGTCCTGTCCACTGTTAAACCATCTCTCCAAATGTCCTCCATGTTTTCCAGTGTCTTTCCCCCCCACCGCACTTGGAACTGATCCCAGAAGGATATTTCTTCCAACACTGCTTTTAAGTGTTTTCAAAAACTGCCTTTGGGTTAAAAGCTGCCTCTGGGAACAGCCTTAATGGTTCAGGCAGGCAGCCTTCCTGTCTGTAGCTGTGCTTCCACTGAATCTTCCCCACCCACTGAGGTTTTTTTTTGTGGTAATAGTATTCCTGGGGCTTTGAACAGCTATTTACAGAAGGGTTAGAAGAAAGGCTGTGGGGCAGGATGCAAACCTGCCTTTCTGAGGGCATGTTATTATTATTTTTTCCCTTAAAAATCTGGATGATTACCTTAGGACAAGGGGGTCAGAAGTTAGCACCCACGCCTTTCCTAGAAAAATAAAATATCCTGGGAAATATTAAAAAGGCAGAATATTTCCCCCTAAAAAAGAGTAGAAACTCAAGAACAGAAACACCTCAGAAGCAGAAGCTCACCCCCACCCACCCCCCTTTGTTAATGGGTGGGCCATTAAGGCCCGGGCCAGAATACTTTACATAACAAAGACCTCCAGGTAAAGGTATAGCAAGGTATATGCTTCAGAGGGGCCAAGGCACATGATTGTTCACTGATAATAAGTGGATCCATCTTCCAATTTGTTATAGTTTGCTCTCTTTATAATATTGCATAGGAACATGACACCAATTATAGAAAGTTAGCACCCACTCCTGTTCCTGGAGAAATGAAATATTTTGGGAAAAGGTTGAAAAGGAAGAATATGTTTCCCTGGATGAGAAATGGAGAAACATGTTTTCTTAGAGGGAGAAAGTAGCCCCCGCCTTCCTTAATAGCCCCTAGCCTATGTCAACACTTAAGAGATAAAGAGATAGATTCATAGGCAAAAATTCCCTGAGGCAAAATCTGAATAAAGACAATGGGGATTAGCCCTCACTCTAGATGTTAATTCATCTCTTTAAGCTCTGCATTTTGTAGACCAAATATCAGGGCCCACTTTTTGGAGAGCTTAAATGATCTGTCCCCTAAAGGGTATCTCTTTATGAGCAAAGAGCAGGCTGTAGTTTAACTATTTTAATTCCTCAAAGCAAAGAAGCTTTCTGCATTTCTTTTGTACAGGTAATCCTTGATTTACAACAATTCATTTAGTGACCGTTCAAAGTTGCAATGGCCCCCAAGAAAAGTGACTTATGACTGTTTTTCACATTGTATGAAGTTATCACCCACCCCTCTCCGAGAAAAATGAAATATCCTAGGAAATATTAAAAAGGCAGAATATTTCCCTTAGAAAGAACTAGAAATTCAGAAGCAGAAACTCACCTCAGAGGTAGAAGCTCACCCTCACCTTTGTTAATGGGTGGGCCATTAAGGCCTGGGCCAGAATATTCTACATAACAAAGATAGGTAGGTAGGTAGGTAGGTAGGTAGATTAGATTAGATTAGATTAGATTAGATTAGATTAGATTAGATTAGATAGATTAGGTAGGTAGGTAGATAGATTAGATTAGATAGATTAGATTGATTAGATTAGATAGATAGATTAGATAGGTAGGTAGATAGATTAGATTAGATTAGATAGATTAGATAGATTAGATAGGTAGGTAGATAGATAGATAAGATTAGATTAGATTAGATAGATTAGATTAGATAGATAGATTAGATAGGAAGGTAGGTAGATAGATAAGATTAGATAAGATAAGATAAGATAAGATAAGATAAGATAAGATAAGATAAGATAGATAAGATAGATAGATAGATAGATAGATTAGATTAGATAGATTAGGTAGGTAGGTAGGTAGATTAGATTAGATAGATTAGATTAGATAGATTAGATTGGTAGGTAGGTAGGTAGATAAGATTAGATAAGATAAGATAAGATAGATAAAATAGATAGATAGATAGATAGATAGATAGATAGATAGATAGATTAGATAGGTAGATAGATAGGTAGGTAGGTAGGTAGATAAGATTAGATAGATTAGGTAGGTAGATTAGGTAGGTAGGTAGGTAGGTAGATAGATAAGATTAGATAAGATTAGATTAGATTAGATTAGATAAAATAAGATAAGATAAAATAGATTAGATAGATAGATAGATAGATAGATAGATAGATAGATAGATAGATAGATTAGATAGGTATGTAGGTAGGTAGATATATTAGATTAGATAGACTAGATTAGATAGATAGATAGATAGATAGATAGATAGATAGATTAGAATTCTTTATTGGCCAAGTGTGATTGGACACACAAGGAATTTGTCTTGGTGCAAATGTTCTCAGTGTACATAAAAGAAAAGATACATTTGTCAAGAGTCAAGAACATCAGGCACAACTCTTAATAATAGTCATAGGGTACCAATAAGCAATCAAAACTTACTAGGAAACAGTCCATATAAATTGTAAGGCTACAAGCAACAAAGTTACAATCATAGAGTCACAAGTGGGAGGGGATGAGTGATAAGGAGTGATGAGAAGATTAACAGTCATAGTAGTGCAGACTTTGCAAATAGTCGAACAGTGTCGATGTCAAGTGGTGGGAGTTATTTGTTTGGCAGAGTGACGGCTTTCGGGGTGGAGGGAAAACTGTCCTTGTGTCTAGTTGTTCTGGTGTGCAGTGCTCTATAGCGTAGTTCTGAGGGTAGGAGTTGAAACAGTTCATGTCCAGGAGGTGAGGGGTCTGTAAATATTTTCGCAGCCCTCTTTTTGATACAGGAAACAGGATACAGGTCCTCCATGGAAGGCAGGTTATGGCAATTGTTTTTTTCTGCAGTTCTCTACCCATGTAACCACCAGGCCTGGAAAGATTGCATCAGCCAGCGCTCAGGTGAAGCCGTGTGGTCCGGACAAATCCTACAAAGTTAGCTAAGACCCCCCCCCCGCCCCTGCGAGTCTGACAGCCAATGGGATACAATTATTACACAGGAACAGGAAACACTAAGGTGGGGCCACCAGAGGGTATAAAACGATCGCGCTCTCAGCACCTTGCCCCTTTTCCCTTCTTTTCCTTCACCCAAACATCTTGAAGCACGTGACCGTCCTTTTCACCCAGGATCTCCAAGCCAGGCGGTCCTGCCCACTATTAAACCATCTTTCCAAATGGCCTCCGTGTTTCCAATATCTTTTTCCTTCCACTTGGAACTGAACCCAGAGGATATTTCTTCCAACAACACTTACGACCGTTGTAGCATCGCCATGGTCAGGAGAGGCCAGGCGATGCTAAGCGCCCCTCGACGTGAGCGACATCAAGTTGGCCACACCCACTCAGTCACATGATCGCCCAGCCACGCCCACCCAGCCAGTCATTAGGACAGAGAGCCAGTTGTTTAAAAATGTGAAGCTCACCCCTCGTGCTTTGTCGTTGCCTGTTTCCTTTGGTTGAGAGAGAATGGCTGGCTCATGTCAGCCACCTAGCCTGCCTAAGGCGGGACGAGAAAAGCATCGTCACCTGGTTTATAACTGTTGGAAGAAATATCCTTCTGGGTTCAGTTCCAAGTGAACAAGATCACATGCCTTGGCGCTCTTGGGGAAAAGGGAAGACCTGCCCAGAGTCCCTTGGTTGTATGTCCCTCTGTTGGGATTTGAATTTGAGCTTGAATTCTGATTGGTTGTCAGTGTCAGGTGGTGCTCCGTTCAAAATCCAAGAAAGAAATACTTAAGACTCTTTAGATTAGAGCAAAGATAACTTTTACTGGAAGTCAAGTGGTAGCAACAAAAGAATTCTGAATCTGAGAAATTAGGCGCGTAAATCACATATACAAAGTGTTGGAAACATTCCCGGCCCTCATAGTTCAAATGATTCTTCCCATGAAAAGTTGTGAATATGATCGTGTGGGCATCTTCAGGTGGTGATGAGGCCTCTGTCCGTTGACCTTGGCATGTTTTGATAAAGATTTGCGGCTGCGCAGAGAAAAGAAAGCTAAGCGAGGAATAGAAACCTTCATGGCAACTCTGTCCTGAGTCCCAGGCTTGGTTGAGCTTTGCTGGGTGATTATGTCATGAAAGGGCCTGAAGGAGGTAGATCTTTGTTGTGTTGAATAGACTGGCCCAGGCCTTAATGGCCCATTAGCGAAGGTTGGTGGGGGGGGCTTAGTTTCTCCCTCTCTGAGTTTCTACTCTTTTAGGGGAAATATTCTGCCTTTTTAGTATAGCCTAAAATATTTCGTTCTTCTAGGAGAGGGGTGGGTTTTAACTTCCAACGCAGCCTTAACCATCATCCTAATTTGTCCCTCAAAATTAAACTAGGGTTATTATAATTAGGCTGCAAAACTCAGTCTCCCCAGAAGACTTAGATATGTATGTTTGCTGCCATCCTGGGGGTCATCTGGTGTGTTTGCAGGCTAGACTAGGTGCTGCTAAATTAAAAGACTATAATCTCCGAAACTGTACTGTAAGGTTCGGAAAAATATTAACTGACACAAATGTTTTTAAAGGGTTAAAAAGATTTGGGTCTAACATTTTGTTTGTTTTTGGTGTTTTTTTTTTAGAAAAATGGCGGAAGGCCTACCAAGCTGCATCAAGTAAGTGAACAGGGCCTCTTTGAATCGGAATGCGTATTCATAGAAGGGGTCGAGCTATTTTCTACAGCACCTGAATATTCAACCTAGAAATAAGGAGAAATTTTCTGACAGAATTGTGGAAAGGGAACTTCATGAGGACAGTGGTGACACTCAAGCAGAAAAAAGCCCAAAGGCAACACCAGGCCAGCCATAAAACAAACTTGCATAGGAAAAGAGATTTAATAAAAGGTATTGAAAGAAGCCCCCTAGGCAAAAAGCCAAGTAATTAAGAAAACTAGGGAAACAAAAAAGAAATCCCTTACAAACAAAAGGCCATGCCAAATCAGCAAAACAAATAAGACAAAAGACCCATAGCAGACAGGAGATTGCCACTAAACAAATATAAGAAATGAAACTAATAATCCAATCAAACCACCCCGCAGAGTTTACCCTCTGACGGAAATGGAGACAAACCCCCCCCCCACAGGATTTAAGCACTCACACACAAAAGGAGAACAGGTATAAAAATCAGGAGTTTATTACACAAAGCTGGCTAGCCCCAGGAACGCAGACTTCTTGCTATCTCTTGCCTTCCTGAAAATTAAAGAAACTTGCTTCCAAATAGCTGTCTGTCTGTGTCCTTACTCTGAAAGCACTCCCAGCAGGAAAAAAGAACCCTTGGAAGAAAGGCATTTGCAAGCCTTTCAACAGAACAATGAACCAAGGCAAAATAATGTTGCCTTCAGAAGTTGCGGGAGCTTCCTCTCTGGAAAATGAAAGAAAATCACTCTTTCAAAAAGAGACTGGACGGCCGTTTGTCAGAAATGGTGTAGGGTCTCCTGCTTGGGCAGGGGGGGTTGGACTAGATGACCTACAAGGTCCCTTCCAATTCTGTTACTCTGTTAATCCACAATTATCTTCAGAGCTGCTTTAGTGGAACCTGCACTGGGGGTGGGGGGGTATATATGAACTTTAAAGGGATTTCTACCTGTATTATAGATAACTTTTCATTCCTCCTCTTGGTAGTTTGCCTATTTCTAGCTGATCTTTTTCCGGATCATTTATAATTTCAGATGTAGTGGAATGACGCATGAATCTGGATCAGAGGTTTCCCTGCTGAAGGCCACAACGGCAATCTAGGAAAACGTTGGACTGGCTGGGTAGATCGGGATCTACACATCTTCATTTCTTTCCTTCTACTTCTTTGATTCTGGCGATCCACTGGGAGCGTTCACTGATGCCGGATTAAATTTTCTTCCCTTGCACTTTGGCTTCGATGGCGTGAGAACCAGCATGAAAGACATAAAAAGTGTGATAAAGATTACATCGTGCAGGATTATCCTTGATTGTTGTGAATACCTAGCAGTTTTCAAGTGGCATATGTAACAGATAACAGATAATCAGAGTTGGAAGGGACCTTATAGGTCATCTAGTCCAACCCCCTGCCCAAGCTGGAAACCCTATACCATTTCTGACAAATGGCAGTCCAATCTCTTCTTGAAAGTCTCCAGTGATGACGCTCCCACAACTTCCGAAGGCAACTTCTGTTCCATTGGTTGATTGTTCTGTCATTCTGGTGTTGCTTACAGAAACTTCCTCTCCGTTAACCCTTATTACATTCTTGGCAGGCCTAGACTTCCTGTCTCAGGAACTTCTCTGGAGCTTTTTTTCCCCCTTCTTTGCTGGTACTTTGCTTATGTGGAGTGACCATTCAAGTTACAATGGCACTGAAACAAGTGACTTATGACCATTTTTCACACTTACGACTGTTGCAGCATCCCCACAGTCATGAGAGGCCAGGCGGGAAGATGCGTGCCTCGATGTGAGTGATGTTGAATTGGCCACGTCCAGCCAATAACATGACCACCAAGCCATGCCCACCAACTAAGCCACGTCCCCAGAATCGGTTGTTAAAAAATTTGAATCCCACCCCTGGCCCTGATGGCGAACCGTGATGGTGGCACGCAGAGCCATTTGCGATCCGCAGGCAAACTTACCTCACTGTGCATGCGCACGCCTCATAGCTGATTTTAGGCTGCTTTGAGGCCTTTTTCAGCCTCCCAGGGGCTTGAAAAAAGTCTCTGCGGGCTGAATAGGCCCATTTCATCACTTCCTGTAATACCAGAAGTGACAAAACGGGCCTATTCGGCCTGAAGAGGCTTTTTTCAAGCCTCTAGAAGGCCGAAGAAGGCCTCAAACCAGCTGAAAATCAGCTGTGAGGCACAGTGCAGGTAAGGGGGCGGGGGGCGTGCTGCAGGTGTGTGTGTGGGTGATTGCATGCACATGCGCAGGGGGGGAGCGCATTGCCTTCTGGGTGCTGGCATGCACAGGGCACAGATGATTTTTGGCACAGGAGCCCAAAAAGGTCAGCCACCACTGGTATAGGGATTCTAGAAGACTTCCAAGAAGACTAGAAGACCTCCAAGGTCCCTTCCAACTCCGTTTTTCTGTTAGTCTGACCTTGTCATTTTATTTACATTTATGGTACTGCCTTTGTTGTGATTATTTTGCTGTGTTGTACACTTCTGAAAAAACTGCTTACTGTAAGAGAGAGCAGCAGTGGTACAGTGGTTAGAATGCGGTATTGCAGTCTGCCCATAGCCAACAGTTTGATCTTGTCCATCTCATCGCTGACCCTTCCTTCCTTCCTCCCTCCCTCCCTCCCTTGCTGTGGTGGTGCCGTGGTTAAAATGCAGTGTTGCAAACTAACTCTGCCCACTGCCAGCAGTTCGATCCTGACCAACTCACGGTTGACTCAGCCTTCCATCCTTCCGAGGTCGGTAAAAATGAGGAACCAGATTGTTGGGGGCAATTTGCTGACTCTGTAAACCACTCCAAGAGGACTGTGAAACACTGTGAAATGGTATATCAGTCTATTGTTATATACAGTTAGTAATGCATACCGTTTTTGTCGGCATTTTTCCACACAATTTATAGCTCAGTAGCAGCTGAGATTTTCATATTAGCTACTCAGGGATGATCATGATTGGCCAGTACAGATAGGTGAAATAAATCCTTCTCCCCACACACCTCCCAAAATTGTTGCATAAATGAGACAGGGTCGTGAAGGTGCTGCCGGAACTGGATACCCATAGATTATTCTCCGTTATTGGGAGAAATCTTAAAAATGGCATCCAATCAAGCTGATGTTTCTTTTTATGGAAGAATAAAAATCAAAGGGCAAGGAAATTGGAGTTCATCATTGCAAAATCAAGCCACAGTTAGTACCGCTCATGGCCGCATGGATGAACTTGGAATTTCTGTTGGTTTTATCGTCTTTTTCTTGCACGGTATGGGAGCAGTTGTAGCAGACAAAAAAGCTCTATAGAGAATCATTAAAACTGCCCAGAATATCATCGGGCTCCAGCTACCAGCCCTGGACGACATCTTCGCATCTCGCTGTTTTGAGGAAGTTTGTGCAACATTCTCAGGGACTCTTCCCATCCTGCTTACAATCTTTGTGAACTGTTGCTTTCTGGTAGAAGATATAGAACAATTAAAACTTGGACCACACATTTTCTGAATAGTTTTTAATCCCAGAGCTATAATTGCGCTTAACAATGAACTTAAGAACCACCATCAGTGAGCTGTTGAACAACATTACTTGGTCTGTTGTGTGGATGCTTGTATGTTTTAGGGAGTGCGGAACCTCCGTGAGTGGGGTGTGTTTGGGGATTGTCATGTGTGTGTGTGTGGGTTAGGTCTGATCTCTGGGTGTTATGTGAATTTTATTGAATGTGCATACTGTATATATTCGTACGATGACAATAAAGTATTCTATTCTACTCTTTGCTTCTATGAGTTTTTCACCTCTCAGCAGGGGGCGTAGATTTGATTTGACCCTGAACCTGGTTAAGCTCCTAACACATATCTGAAATGCAATGGTCCAAGAGCTCAAATCGCAGTAGAGGGCTTGAATCCCATAGATAAGATGTGACTGCCTATGCCTGGATCGTCCCAATATAGCAGAAAATGGACCATGCGCTGCTTGCCCATGGCCAACATAAGGTTAAAAAGTGGAAGATATTGCGGTTATCTAAGTCATGTCAAACTTCATACTGAGGTACATACAGAATAAAATAACGCCCTTGTCAGCTTTGGAAGCCATATTAGCACCAGACGCTTCCACATTGCCACATTCTTGAGCCTGGGAAATGGGAGGGGGGAATTTCTTGGAGTGCGTGTGGTTAGACATAATAGCATTCTTCTTCTAAGTCAAGGTCATGTTATTTCTGCACCTGGTTGAGAGGACGTCTCAAGGACGGGATGGATGGTGATTGGGGCATGTGATGCATTGGCAGGTGCAGGGGGTGGATTTGTAGTTTTTACTTATTGGTAAAAACTGGAACTTTCAGATTCGGGATTCCCCAGATGTGCCAGTTTACTACCCAAATAAAACAACGTTTGAGAAGATGTCTGTCTTGGAGTTATTTGTTGGAGCAGAGGTTTTCTGAAATGCTGACAGCTCTTGGTTTTTAAGGGAAGGTAGAATAAATATACAACGGGTGTTAAACTCGCCGCGTCATCTTGCCACGACGTGACATTTCATGACTTTTCCCCATTCGCGGGGCTGGGGTGGGCGTGGCCTCTGCGTGACGCATCTGGTCCACAGGCTGTCAGTTTGGTGCCAATAATATATACTGCTTTATGACGTGTGGACTCAAATTCCCAGAATTCCCCAGGCAGTGGAGAGTTGGGTTCACCCATCTTAACATGGCTAAAACTGAGAAACATGGGCATATCTCGTTCTGATTACATACAGGTAGTTGTTGTGGTTCAGTGGCAGCCTGTGCAGACAGTAGTAGAATTGGAGAGTGGGAAAGAACAGGGACCAGTCCAGGAGTCTGGGGAGGACTCGGACGAGGGACCTGCATCCGATGCAGAGATGGGGCCAGGGCCATCTGGCAGTTGTGTGCTGACTCTGGAGCCTCCAGAGTCTGGCAGCAGCAAGGCAGAGAAATGAGGGGAGCCTGTTCCCAGTATGCATGTGCACAGAGCTGCTAGAAGGAAAGAGCAGCTAAGACAAAAGAGGCGACTCCGGAGTAAAGCTTGGAGGTGATTGCCCCTCCCCTAAGGTATAAAGGAAATGCAAAGGTAGATAAACCTTTGCAGGAAGCAAAGTTGTTTGCTCTATTCAGATTAAACCTTGAAGCTCCGTGTGGACTTTGTACTTCAGTTGCTTTTTTGTAGTTAATTTGGCACTTTAGTTGTTGGCAGCAATTCAAAAGAGATAAAGGTGGGTGCTTATCTCAAGGAACTGTTTGGGACACATTATGGGCTGGGAATGAACATAATTCCCAGCGTTGAAATAAAACAAGAGTTGTTTTAATTAAGCGCGTGCTTAATTATGGTCTCAGGAAGCCTTTATTTTTTTATTTTTGTCAATTGCTTACAAGATAACAGGTATAAGTAAAAACACAGTTATGAATGCATGGATACATATAAGAAAAATAAAAGAAACAATAGGACAGGGACAATAGGCACCTTGGTGCGCTTATGTATGCCCCCAAAGACCTCTTAGGAAAGGGGTGAGGTCAATAGTAGACAGTCTCAGGTTAAAGTTTTTGGGGTTTGGGGAAGAAACTAGAGTCAGGTAGAGTATTCCAGACATTGACCACTCTGTTGATGAAGTCATATTTCCTGCAATCAAGTCTGGTGCGATTAACCTTGAGTTTGTATCTATTGTTTGCTCTTGTGTTGTTATGGTTGAAGATGAAGTATTCATTGACAGGTAGGACATTGCAATGTATGATTTTATATACTATACTTAGATCAGACCGAAGGCGGCGTAGTTCTAGATTTTTTAGGTCTAGAATTTCGAGTCTGGTGGCATAAGGTATTCTACAACGAGTAGAGGAGTGGAGAACTCTTCTTGGGAAATATTTCTGGACTTTCTCCACTGTGTTAATATGAGATACACATGTGGGTTCCAGACTGATGAGCTGTATTTGAGTATTGGTCTAGCAAATGTTTTGTATGCTCTAGTTATTAGTGTAATATTACCAGAGAAAAAGCTACGTAGGATTAGGTTAACAACTCTTAATGCCTTTTTGGTTATGTAGTTACAGTGGGCTCTAGCACTTAGATCATTAGAGATGAGTATTCCAAGATCCTTGACAGAGTTTGGATCATCAACAAGATCTTGGTCAGAACAGTAGTCTTCAATTTAAAAGTTTATTTGATGACTGTTCGAAATTACAGCGTCACTCAAAAAAGTAACGTATGACTCTTTTTCACACTTGTGACCGGTGTGACATCCCCAGGGTCACATGCTCACAACTCAGACGCATGACAACTGGCTCACATTGACGACGGTTGCAGTGTCCCAGAGTTACGCCATTCCCGTTTCGCAACTTTCTGACAAGCCTAGTCAATGGACAAGTCAGATTCAACCATTGCATTGATTTAACAACGGCAAGTGATTCAC